TTCCTTCCTTCCTTCCTTCCTTCCTTCCTTCCTTCCTTCCTTCCTTCCTTCTTTCCTTCCTTTTCTTCCCTCCTTCTCTTTCTTTCGTTGTACTTTGCTTTTATTCATATGTAAGAATGATCATGAAACAAAGCATAGAGTAGTTCTATTAACTTTGAACTCATACTGAAATACATATTGTATTTTATTATCATTAGATGCAGTCTACAGGCAAAGCCAAAGGCTTGATTTACCAAGGGAAGTAGAAAAAAATGAAAATACTTATCATAAGGTACACACTCAAAATGAACTCTTTTTTTCAGACAATTTTTCTCTCCTCTTAATAGTCTGTTCTTTCAAAAATTCCAATGACTTCAATTTATTCTTTTTTTTTTTTTTTTTTTTTTTTTTTTTTGTATTTTAGGGTAGGGTCTACATACAGAGTCTCTCTGCTAGATTGGACTCACAGTGATCCTCCTGTTTATAGCCTCCCAAGAGCTGGCATTATAGGCACATGACACCACGCCCAGTTTCAATCCCTCTCAGCATGTCCCAGGAGTGGGGCTGGCAGGGCAGGCCCAGGGATTGAACTCACCATCCCTGCATCTGTCTAAGCAGATGCTTTAATCTGCTGAGCTATTTGGCTGGCCCTAAAATATGTAGGTTTTTTTTTTTTTTTTTTGCCAGATCAGCCCACCAAAGGGTGGGACTGGTGCAGAATGTGTTTCCTGGGATCGAACCTGGGTCCCCTGTACTTGCCTAAGCAGGCACTTTAGACTGCTGAGCTATCTTGCCAGCCTCTCATATTTTACTTTCTAGTCCTTTCATTCTATCATTAAATTAAAATTGATTTATCTCTAGAAAGTAGTAAACACATTAAAGAAGATATTCGTACATTGTAACTAAATCATTTTCAAATAATGGAAGTAGTAAATTTTCCTCATGTTCATGCCACTCATTTAAAACAATAGAGTAGACACACATTTAGATTTCTCTATAGAAACTGTAAGTCCTATAAATTGGCTACTTTGCCTTGCCTAAAATGGCAGATAAATTTATTCAATTATATTAGTAGCAATAGTTACAGTAATAATTGAGGATGAATAGTCAGGCTCACTTTTATTTACCATTCATGTAAATCACTGTAATATAAATCTGTCTCATTTTCATGTCTATTAATTCTATGAGGTTAATATCTTGGTTTTCATAAAATAAGAATTTCATTTGATATGTAAACGTTTTATTTTGTGATAGTATAGTAGTATTGTCCAAATTAACACACAATAAGTATGAAGGTAATAGATAATTACCAAAGCATAGGACTTCTAGAGCATATTAAATGGCTGAAAGTTTAACATTGTGTGTGTGTGTGTGTTTCTGTGTTTACCATTAGATTGTCATCTAATTTTTCTCAGAAAATAAATTTCACTTTTTCAAAATATTTGTATTCTCTAAATTCGTATCTTGATGAATTGAAAGGGAGCTCTTTTATGTCAGAATTTATTTATGTCAGATCAGCCTAAAATACTTCTGTTATGGTTTGTGTCTAGGTGTTGCCCAAAGCCTCATGCAGTCTTGGGGCAGTTTCTTGAATTTGTGATTGATCACTGTGGGTGTGGATGCTGCCCCTGCCCTGGGGCAGGTAATTTGCATTACAATGTAAGGTGGGAAGAGAAGCCAGCTGCCTGAGCTGCTGCTACCTCTCCCTTGCGCTCTTGCTCTTTGCCGCCACCATGAAAGGTTGCTTTCTGCTCTGTGCTGCTCTACCTTGGAGCCAGCTGAGTATGGACTGAAACCTCCACTAACTGTGAGCTAAATGAACCTTTCCTTCCTTCATTTTGAGTGTTGGGTATTTGTCCCAGCAACGAGAGAAGAGTAACTAAGACAACTAACTTCCTTTCATCCTTTTTTTCTAAAATATTTCTTTTCTAGTTTTCCTTCTATTTTCCGCTTGTCTTGATCTTGATACTATCATCCCTTAGGAAACTTTCTCTTTTATACACTTTGGTGATGTTCTTGTATTTCTTTATTTTGGTATTATTTTATGTCCTTCCCCATCAATATTCTAGCTTAGTCTTCTATGTTAATTTTATAATGTATTTTTTAAAAGAAAAAGTAAAAACAATGTTATAAAATTTCAGAACAAGTTAGGGAGTGAGAATGGTCAATACATTGTGTATTGATATCTTCAGAGTAGTAGCTAAGATTGCAAGATGTAGGCATGAAAAATTGATCAAACACACAAACACAAATCTTTGTTCAATGAACTAATAGAAATTAGTAGTATAACTATCTTAACTAATATACATATATTTATATGCATATTTTTTCCTTTTCCCTGCCTCTTTTCCTTTCCCCAATCTAGTTTCTCTATCCTTTTGAACAGTTTCTGCCCATTTCACAGTATCTATTGTACGTTTTGAATTGTACTCCTTCATCTTTGTTATGGTTTATGTCTAGTTGACCCCTCAAAGCTTCATGCAGTCATGGGCAGACTTCTAGAGTTTGTGGTTAACTCATGATCCATGGGATTATGGGTGTAATTCCCCCAGCCTGGGATGGATAACCTGAATGTAGTTTAAGAGAGACAGACTTGCTTTCTGCAGCTATTGTTGCTGATGCTTCTCTGTTTTGCTCTTGCTTTTTGTTGCTACCATGAAAGGCTACTCTCTACCATGTGCCGGTCTTCCTTGGAGCCAGCTGAGTATGGACTGCAACCTCCAGTAACTGAGCTAACTAAACCTTTCCTTCCTTCATTTTGTATGTTGGCTATTTTGTCCCAGCAATGAGAGAAGAGCAACTGAGACAATCTTCTTACTCTTGGGAGACAATATGATTTTTACACATGCAGGCCTGATTTATTTCACTTATCAGAATGGTCTCCAGTTGCATCAATTATCTACAAAAGTCCTAAGTTTATCCTTCTTAGCAGTTGAGTGGTAATCCATTGTATAAAAAGACCACTTTTTTATTTAATGCATTACACAGTTGATGGGGCATTGGTTGTTTCTAAGATTTAGCTATCACAAATTGTGCTGTTACCAATATTGTTTGGTATGATATACTTTTTTTTTGGAATGATATTTTTAATTCTTCTTGATATCTTTAATACCAAGAAGGGAAATAGCTGGGTCAAATAGGGCCTGTAATGCTAGTCTTCTGAGAAGTCTCCACACTGATTTCCATAGTGGTTGCACCCGTCTACATTCCCACCAACAGTGGAAAAGGGTTTCTTTTTTGCCACAGCCCCTCCTGCATTTGTTATTGGTTGATTTTTTTGATGATTGCCATTATTTCTGGGGTGAGATGGAATCTCAGTGTTGTTTTAATTGGCATCCCTCAAACGACCAGAGATGTTGAGCATCTCCCTCTTTTCAGTGTTTCTTTCACTCAGCAGCTTTTCAGCTGCTTTCGCACTCAGCTCAAATGACGCTTCCAGAAGATTCTCTGGCTTTCCCCGTCCCTTAAGTTTGAAAAGCTGTCACTGAGAAATACTAAATATTTTATATTTCTTCTGCTCTTAGTGTTTGGAAACTGTTCTGCAACCTCCTTCACTATCACTTTATCAAAAAAGACACTAGCCAAATGGGCCATGAAAAGGAACCCATGAGATGCTCTCATCTGTTGAAAACTCACCCGTAAGTTGCAGAATACTGAAGCGCAGTATGCATGACCTCTCCTGCGATCTGGATGGTATTTCCATCTCCCAAAGTGATAGTAGCATTCTTAAAGGGGAAGGTATCTGGATTTGGAAACCCAGGAGCCAAGGAGATGAGGGATTTTGGCGACACGTTCAGGACGTCAGCTATGATAAACATGGGAAAGAACAGACACTTTAACTGAAGATTTAGAAACAGAAACACTTCAGTATGCACTACAGTCAACTAGAAGTCTGATAACTCCTAGTGACAGTGTGCTACGGTGTGAACGTTAGTGACCTGCTTCATATGTTGGAACCTAATACCCCGTGTGACAGTATAAGGAGATGGAGGTCTTCAAGACATGACTAGAACACCCGTGCACCACCACACGAATAAGTTTTAGAAGGAGACTAGAGGAGGCACCCTTACTCTCCTCTGTGGAGGGAGGACACATGCTACCCTTGTCCACTGCATGAGGACTCAGCCACAAGGGCCATCTCTACAAACGGCCCTCACCCCAGCATGGAATGGACTAGCACCTTGACGTTGGACCTTCTATTGTCCAGAATTGCTACAAATAATTTTCTGTTGCTTCTAAATTACCAGTTAATGGTATCTTGATTACACTGCCCACATCTTCCAGGACAGAACCCTGGTCTAAAACAAGTATAGGGTAACTTTTTCTGCACTCCTCACTGGTGAAGGACTGAAGAATGGGGATGACCAGGAGAAGGCACAGGGGCTAGGAATGAACAAAGGGTCATAAGGACAGGAGACCCCTCTGCAGGAAGCCCCACAGTTCTGTTCGAATCCCGGCCCCTGACTTGCTCTCCAAGAGCGAGCCCCACTCCACCCGCAGGAGCTGCACACCCCCACCCCTCTGTCCAGCTAAGAAGCTCCTCTGCACAGCAACCCCCCCCCCCACCAGGACGTGCCCCAGGCAGCCCGCTGGCCCCTCGCTTTTCCTTCCCCTGCTGCTGCAGAGGCTCTGAGGCTGCCTCCCCCTCATTCTCTGAGAACAAAGGCTCTGGCTGTCCGTGCGCTGCCCACAGAGCCCTTGCACAGTGAATTCCAGGTTGCAGGGTGCAGGCAACCCAGGGGGACTGGGGAGGCTCCAGCGGGCAGGGGCGGCGCTGGGCCCACATCTCACCCATGGTGCGGATGGGAGAAGCCTTTCTGGCTGCGCTGGTCGCAGTAAGGAACCGTGCGTAGTTCATGTCTCCTGGAGTCAGGCACCAAGCTCTTTCTTCAGGTGTTCAGGACTAGAAAAATATCAGAAGAACCCAGAAACTCCACAGCCTGGTGCAGCACAGCCTCCCAGGTCCTCCGCGCAGCGCCCGCTGCAGATGTCCCCACGCGGCGCCCAGGTGTGGGCTGCTCCGGTCCCTGCGACCTGAACGTCCGGGGCGGGCGGAGCAAAGTCCACCCGCGGAGGGCTAGGGCGAGGCGGTGCCCGTGGGCGGCCCGTTCTTCTCGCTCTGCCGCTCGCGCCCGCCCTGTCCCGGCCTGAGCTCAAGGTTCCAGAAACTGCAGGCCCCGCCAGCGCCCCGCTCCCACGAAAGCCCGCGGGGCGACGTGCTCACGGCCGGCACTCCACTCTGGTCTACCACTGTGCTTCCAGCCGGCCAGGACGCCTTGGATCCCGCGCGCCGCTCCCTCAGCCCAAGTTCTGCCCCGAGATCCCAGCCCTCGCGTGCCATCTGGTGGTCGCCTGGGTCCATTGCAGCTGGCTCCGCACCTCTGGGCGCTCTGGGCCTCTCCTGGCTGCTCAGGCTGAGCATTTTGCAGGTTCAGCCCTGCTGTGCTAAATTCTCACTCTCACTAATAAAACGTTCAGCAGTGCCCCAGCAAGGCTCCACGGCGTCTCCCCAGAGTTCCTAGAACGTGTCTTTTTTCCATAAAGCTATGAAACTTCGTCGTATTTTATCTTCCTGCAGACACCATTAATTTAGAAAGCACTAAAGACCAGTACAGCAGTTTCAACTACTATGATATTTTAATTTTTTTAAAGCCCAGGGATTTAAAAACTAGAATAAAGAATATCACCTTATTTATATATTATGTCACAGTATATAAAGTTGTTAAATTTTTCAGCATCAAAATGAAATTTTCGCCAGGCATATTGGTACGTGCCTGTAATCCCAGCACTGCCGAGGCTGAGGCAGGAGAACTTTCCAGAGTTTGAGACCCCCCTTCTGGGCTACAAGGTGAGCTCAAGTCTAGCTTGTGCTGCATAGTGAGCAGCATAGTTTAGCACAGCAGGGCTGAGCCTGCTTCCCCCCCCCAAAAAAAAAAAGAAAAAAAAAAAAGGAAAGAAATAAAAAGCTGCAGCAGCAGCAACAACAACAACAGCAGCAGTAAAAAGTCAGCTCTACCTAGCTTCATCACTGACAGATGGACCTTGACTCAGGAATACTCTTTAGCTGTTTGGTAGGTTATTTTTGTTGACTGTACAAGGGCCGCGTAAGATCAACTTAAGAAGCAACACTAGCCAGACAGAGATGCAAATACCAAAAACACTGTACCGTGTCTATACTTGGGGCCTGGCTACCAAGACATTAGACTTATTTAAACACCGCCACAGGGATAACGGTCCCATTAATGGAAGCTGTCTCTATGGGAAGGTTGGATTTATCACCAAGCGTCATTATATAGCAAGATCCAAGGAAGAGTAGTTTTTAAAGATGACATTTGACATTTAGTCACTTGGGCAAAAGTTTCAATTACTTTGTGTGATTTCTGAATGATTAGGAGTAGGAGAATGCTTTTTCTGTTTTGTAATTTCTTTTTTGTGATATTTCTTTTAAAATTTTTTTCTTTCTTCCTTTCTTTCTTCTGATGTTTTTGCTTCTTTTGTTTAGAAGAATCTTCTTTAGTGGAACTGAAATAAAATCTTTTCATTTTATATTTCAATTTGCTTTTCACTCTACTTTTTTCTTTTTCCTTCTCCTCATCTTCATTTATTCTTTTTTCCTGTAATGTCTGCAATTTACTTAGTTTATCCTGTTCATCACTGTTTTCACTGTTTGTACTGCTGGCTTCCAAAATTATATACTTTTAGGGCCTACTCAGAGAAAATTGTGGCATTGAAGAATCAGGTGACCAAGGTAGTCTCATTTTTTGCAGCCTGCCCTGACACTGTCCTTGTTGCAACCTGGAACTGCCATTGAGCAGAAGGATGGCTGGGGCCCTTAGCTTTCAAAAATATGTTTGTTGGGTCCGGGGAGATGGCTCAGTGGAATAAGCGCTTCCCTGGCAAGCACAAGGGCCTGAGTTCAATCCCTGGTTCAGCCAAAAAAAAAAAAAAAGAAAAAAATGTTTGTTTCCTGCTGGCTGCAAAGAAAATGCACAAAAAACTCTCCAGCGCCTGTGCCTCAGGGCTTTGGAGCCCTCGGGGAAGCACCTAGGGAGAACACAACCAAGTTCCAGAACACATTCTTCAATAAGTGAGCTCAGTAGAGGAAGGGTGGAGTGTTAACTTTTGCAGAAATCACTGAGAGCGTCTCAGTTTTAGGGTCTCCTTTTCCCTCGCATTTCTATGGAAGCATGAGCTTGCGGCTGTGCTGCAAAGGATAAAAGCAAAAAGGCAAGGGAAGTACGTGTTCATGAATCACATGGTTATTTCTATACAAACAAGAGAGGTTTCTCAGGTTCACAGAGTTAGGAGTGGAAGGACTTGGGTGAACATACCTCATAGCACACTTGATAGACGAGGTGCATTGCCCGTACGGTGAGAAGTCTTCGAGCGGTCTTGTTCAATTAGGATGGAAGCTGACTCTGGTGGAAAATAAAATTCAGCGAAGTTCAAATTGTGCCTTTGCACACTTGATGGGCACAGCAGAGATTGGCAGCCATGTGGGAGGGTCCTGGGCGCTAGGGGGCCCTGCAGAGTTCACTTGGATGGCTGCGGAGATCACCTGGCTGCAAGACCAGCCGGGAGTCGTCATGTTGTGTGCTGACTGCTAGGTGTGGGAAAGCACTTGGCAGTCACTTAGAGGCTGCCGAGCTGAGGGTGAGATTGACTGCTGGAAAGGCTGGCTGGATTTGTCAGGAGCCGTGGAGACTTCTCCTGAAGCGGTGAGTACAGTGAGCAGCGCCCCCAGCTCAGTGCCGCCTCTTTTTAGGCTGCTGGGTTGGGACTGCCCTAGGAGAGGGCCAGAGGGCAGAGCTTTTCTCCAAACATTCACTGAGTCCTTCCTCTGTGCTGGGAGGTGTAGTGAATGAACTTGCTGACTGAGATGAGTCACTGTGCTGGAGGGGCGAGGGGTCGGCGATTTCGTGCCGCGCAGTGTCACGGAGGTAGATGCAAGCTGCTGAGCAAGCAGATGGCCTCGCAGGCATTCTTAGTGCACAGAAGTCCTCAGCCGCTAGAAGCCAGTTGCTTTCGCTCGCATCTTCCGCTTAGGGCTTTATTCATGCTCACAATCTCAAATAGAGGAGGGTGCCCACAGGGTACTCACCATGGCATGCTACTTCCTTTTAAAGGTGACCCATGGGGAGACTTGCTCCTCATTTGTCAAATTGGCTACGGAGCCTTTTCCATAATCTGAGAGAATGAAGGTTTCAAAAATAGTCTGTTCAGAAAAACTTTGCTCACTTTTTTAATGTGCATAGTTTGGGGATAAACTTTTGGAACAATTTTGGGTGTTGACTGGAGGTGGAAAAATGTGCGTTCTGCCTGGGAGAATGGAGTGAGGACATAGACTGCACACTGTGGCAGATGACCCCCAAAGCTAGCAGCTGGATTAGCCTGCTGGGGCAGCTGGGATAAAATACTACAGAGTCCTGTACCACAGCCATGTATCTTCCCGCATTTCTGGAGGCCCCAGCTCAAGATGAAGGTGTCGACAGGCTTGCGTCTCCTGAAGCCTGCAGAAGGCTAGCTTTGTGTGTTCACCGGGCATCTTCCCTAGCTACCTGCATGCCTGGTGTCTCTTTCTTTACATTTAAGGACAACAGTTGTATCAGACTAAGCCTCCATACTTACAAGCACAGTTAACCTGGATTACCTCTTTAAAAATCCGTATTTCTATATACTGTGATTTTGATGGTTGGGGCTTAAGAAAGTTGCTGATACCAAGTTGAAATTGTGCTTCTCAGGCTCAGATAAAATTGGGGCCAGGAGGTTAGGAAGGAGAACTCATACCTACTTGTGTGAGCTAAATAAGGGACTCTCCGAAATCTCCCCAGGAAGTTCTTTGTTTTATACCCATCTACCCATAGATTTTGTTTTTCTATCTTTCTTTCTTTCTTTCTTTCTTTCTTTCTTTCTTTCTTTCTTTCTTTCTTTCTTTCTTTCTTTCTTTCTTTCTTTTTTGTGGAACCTGGGATTGAAATCAGACCCTTGAGCTTGCCAGGCAAGCACTTATTCTACTGAGCCATCTCCCTGGCCCCTACCCATAGATTTTGTAACAAAGTTTACATTTAATACGCTTGAAATTGCACCAGTTCAGGTGAGGTGCTCAGGACAGAGCTCTCTTGTGTAGCAGTGAAGTACACCCATGAGCTGACAGCAGCTCCTGCCTCAGGTCTGCAAGACGATTCACACAGCGTCCAAACATTCATATGAATTTCTCTCTTTTTGGGTATAAAAGCTTCCCTTACCTTATTACTTCTTGCAGTACACCCATGGGTCACCATGGTATCCATCCTGGACTATATGCTGCCATGCTTACTTCCAAATAAAATTATCATACTTCGAGCTATTTTTCTCTGTTGTCCCTTCTTGGCAGCTGCATTTTCTTTGGAAGATGGGGCATACTTCAGTTTGTAAGAGAAGCTAAAATATCAAATACTTATCTCATAATTTCTCTGGTGGTAGGAATACTGAGACTGTGTAGCTGGTGGTTGATATTTAGGACAGCTCAAGAAATTACTGTTAAGATACTGGTTGCAGCTATGACCCTTTGAAATCTTGGCTGGGGCAGGAAGAACGCTTCCATGTTGGCTCAGTGAGATGATGTAGTAGTTTCCTATAGCTGCTGTGTTAAGTACACAGAACAGAGCACCTTAGCATACTAGATATTTACTGTTTCATAGTTTGGGAACTAGGAGCAGGAGGCACAGCTATCAGAACTTTTGGTTCTTTCTGAGAACTGTGAGGAAGTACCTGTTTCAGGCTACTTTCCAAAATTCCTATGGCTTGGTCGTACTCTGGTGTTTACTGGCTTGTAGTTGATCTCTGATTTCCACTTTCATCTTAACACGTTGTTTTCTTTATATGTATCTTTGTGTCTCATTTCCTCCCCTTATAGAATCGCGAGTCATATTGGGTTAAGGTTTACCTTAAGGGATTATTTTATCTGATCATCACTGGACAACACAATCTTCAAACAAGGTCACATTCTGTTTTTTTTTTTTTTTTTTCTTTTTTTTGCAGAACTGGAGATTGAACTCAGGCCCTTGCGCTTGCCAGGGA